TTCATTGTTGTTAAGGAGAGATTGGCATCGGAACATTTTGCTCCAAGTTGGCGAAGCAAGGCATCCGTACAGAAAGTGGTGTTAGAGCCATTATCTAAAAATGCGTATGTTTCAACAAACCTGTTACCTCCTTTCGCTCTTACTCGTACAGGAACAGCAGCTAAACTTACACCTGGTCCTTTACATTTAGAAGCCATGCTAATGGTACTTGAATTTCCTGAGTCTGTGTTGATGTATGTTGGTTTTCCAACACTTTGTGGTTGACGTTTTGATGTTTCAGTTTGAGTTTTATTAGTTGGGTGGAGAAATGTAGAATGCTTTTCTGTACAAATTTTACAGAAGCTTGGCTTAGGGCAAACTGCCACATAATGTCCAGTAGACAAACAATTCATACACAATCTTTTTTGACGAACAAATTCTAGTCTTGCTGGCACAGATGTTTGCTTAAATTTGCCACACCTAGACAACCAATGCGTCCCCGAACACAAGGAACACTTTCTTTGAAATGTCTCTACTTCCACTGCGTAATTGATGCCTTTGATATTTTGTTTGACATTTTTGTCCTTTGATCCAATAACTCCAAAAACCGGATGAGTGGTAGCTCTGGCTTTAGCAGTAACGAAATCTGCAATGTCTTTAATGGTGACATCTCGATTTTCCTTTTGAATGATCTGATCTACCTTGTCGCGCCAAGATGATTGTATGCGATAAGGTAATTTGCTGATGATCTTTCTGAGATTGTCGGGTGCGTCAAGCTTTTGTATACAGTTAAGTTCTTCAAGTGTATTTACACAACTTAATAAGTTAATTGAGAATTTTTGCAACGACTCACCGTCTTCGGGCTTGATGACTGGGCCGTCAACCAGCTTTTTCACGTGAGCTGTGGCAATGATATACGGTTTCCCATATCGTTCTTCTAGCAAAGACATTGCCTTGGCATAGCCGTTCTTCATTACGAGGCAACTTCTCATGAGTTCCTGAACGCTACCTTGTGTATATTGTATTAGGTAAT